GTAAGCCTATTGGCTCTGGTTCAGATGGTGGTCGGGGGGTGTTGCCATGTGGCTCAGGCTGGTCTTGGACTTGAAATCTTTTGCCTCCATCTCCTGAATTCTGTGCTTACAGACACGTCATCACACCATACCTTGCATTAAGTTTTTCACTGAATAATAACTGTGCAGGATTCCATATGTGTATAGCCAGTATCATGATCAAATTGAACTAATCAACATCTGCGTCGCCTCAAATGTTTTTGTGTTTGTTGAGAGGCAACGTTTAATATGTGAACTTTTAGATATTTTTGGCCTGTTAGTTTGAGAAAGACAAGATTGAAAAGAAAAAAAAAAAAACAAAACAACTTACCTTGCAATGTTTTAGTGTATTTTGAATTAAAACCAGTATGGTTTTGTTTAACTGATTTTAATTCTAATCGTCAACCTCCTCTTGCTACTGCCAACCCTCCATATGGCTGGCACAGCCTGTACTTGCCTCTCTCTGCTATGGCCCCGGGACCAGGTTGCATTGCCCATGTTTCCCGAGATGTCTTTGTTTCATGGCCCAGCATCTAGCAGAAGATCAAGGCCCCAGCGTTGCTGTTAGGCCTCCTGAGAAATGACAACATGGTCATTTCTACTGGCAAGATGATATGAGGTGCAAGGTGGAAAATGGAGGCTTTCAAGGCCTCATAAAGATGTCCTCTTCTGAGAGGATGAAGGCAGGTCTAGAGAGATAACTGAGCAGCCTAAGGAAACACAGCTAAGCAAGAACAAGGACAGATTAGATCTGACATCACTGCCTTCTGGCTGATGCTTCCTTCACGCGGTGTCACCAACTGGCAGTTACTGTTGAAAGATGATATGTGCACACCTGTACTAGAGAAAACACCAGCAGCAGCTTTCCATGGGCAGGAATATTTAAACAGCATTTAAAACAAGAGAAAAAGAATAAGAGGTAGTTGTGTAAGAGAGTGGACGTGTTCCCAGGAGCCTCAGCATCAAAGACATTACCCAGGAATCCAATGCTAAATGTAAACACCTGGATTTTAGTTCTGAGTTTCTTAGGGTGAAAATGAAAACAAGTTGTGTTATTCAACTCTTGTTATACACTGAAAGAAAGCATTTGAAGTGTTATCTCTTTGTTGTTGTTGTTTTGGCAAAACTTTATCCAAATGTTAAACCTTTATCCAAGTATTAAACAAGTGAAATTGTCAGCTATGCTGTAGCAGAAAACATCTTTACTAACACTTTTATACGAGATTCAGGACACTCAAAGGATGAAATGTGAAACCTTTAGTTAGTTCAGCACATCTTTATTGACCTAAAGGATTAGGGTCCAGGTACTTACATTTGTGGTTACTTGGTTTGATTCAAGAATGGAGTTGAAAGTCAGAAAGTCTTTAAAGTAGTTTTCAGATAGTCCAATCAGAAGGACCTGCTTTCTATAAGTATTTACTGCTCCCCCCCCTCCCACACACTCCCCCAATTCTGGTTCCGTGTGTCTGGGGTCTGCAGCCTATGAATTTGAATTATCTGCAGTCTCTGATTGGATACAGGTGGCCAGCAAACCAAGTTTTGACAGACATAAACCTACAAAAACAGTCATTTGTATGACCAGGTCCTGCTAGCCGCTCTGAATGTGAGCTTCTCCACCTGCTTTGTGATAGACTTCCAACAGCCTGAGCTCAAAGCCTCAGCGGAGATACAGGATGTGCAAAGGCGTAGGCAGGTGATGATGTGGTTCCAGTGCCCTCCACACAGATAAGCCAGGCTGGGAGCTGCAACACAAGCCCTTGCTCTTTTCCCATTCTTCGAACAGCCAGCTCATTTGGTTTCTGCTGTGTACATGGATGTTGGCTTCCAGCCCTGTTATTTTGGTTCCCCCCCCCAATTATTGCAAAACCTTGCTGGAGGTTTGATCCAAATCAGAGAAGGGCTGCTAGACACAGCATCTAGGAGGGCTGCATGAAATTTAAAGGATTTAATGTGGAAGCTCTTGAGGCCCTGGCTCCCCAAAACTATCTATAGGTATTTTGTGTGCATAGCAACTTTCATCAGCTTTTCTACAAGGCCATAAATGATGCCAAAGGGCTAAGAATTGCTAGGCATTACTGTCTAGCCTCAGAACATAGTAAGCTCTGCTTTAGAGCTGTGTGCTCCCATTACATTCCTCCTGGGTCAGGTAGCTGACAGTGTTCTTGTTGACAGCTAGGTCACTAAGTGTCCCTCTGGCCCCAGGAGCTACCTCATCTAAGGATTATGGCAGCAAAGCCATGGGCTTCATTTTGACAGGTTGTTTTGGGTAATTAGTCCCTTTTATTTGTTCATGGAAATAGTTAGGTGACAAGATCATTGTAGGCTGCTTGTTAGAGGTCTCTCCAAGGTGGAGAAAACAAAACCAGAATTGCTGTTACTAGCTCCCTCCGGATTTGACCTTACACTTGAAATCTAAGGGAAACAGTCCTCTCGGGTGCCTGCTCTGTGGAGTCTCTTTATCCTTCTGCCAAGTGAGGGCTTGGAGCGGGACTTTCAGTGTTCCCTGCATCTGCCAGCCACATCACACTTCACAGACTGGCTGCTCATTAACTTGAAAACGGGGAGAAGGTTCTGGCTCTCCCGCTCTCTTGTTTACCTGTTCAACCGAGCTGCTGTACAAGCAAGGGAGGGAGTTTTGAGTAAACAGGGCCCGAGGTGATGAAATATTCGACTTCTCCAGTTGAAAATTTTCATTGCTTGTTATTTGATTGTAAGCTTTAGCTTGATGGGCAGGCCAAGGCAGGTTCTAACAGTTCACCGTGTACTCATCCGCTCAGGAGAGGAAAGGATGCAGCTGCTGGGGAAGTTGGGAACTGACTGGCTACTTAGCAGTTATATCGTAACAGAGCATTCATTTAACCTTTCTGTGCCTTCATCTCATCATCTGTCTAAAAAATAGTATTTTGTTCATGAGTCCATGACATGGCTGACTGCGTTACGATGTCACAAATGCCCGGCACGCAGCAAGAACTAAATGGAACAAAAAGATACATCAATTGGGAAAATATTTTCAAACTGAATAATAAGAGGTTTACATCCAAAATACCTAAGGAGTTCATACAATTTAATAGCAGGGAAATAAATAACTTGATGATTATTCAGCACCTGTTACAATGGATCTGAAAAAGGCAAACAATTACAAGTATTGATGAAGAGGTTTAAAAAAACAAAACAAAACATGGACCCCTAGTACACTGGTGATGAAAGTATAGCTTAAGTAGCACAGCCATCCTGCGAAAATGAATAATGTTCTCTCAGACTAAAAATAGAAATACCCTGGAGTCTGACAATCTCACCTCTAAATATGTAAATAAAAGATTAAAATCAGTCTGTGGAAGAAATGCCATCACCAGAACTCAGGATAGCACCACTCACAACATCCACCAGTATAAAATCAACCAGAGTATTTATCAGTGATGACTGGATGAATAAAATATGATGTGCATATAAAATGGAATCCTTCTGTCTTGTGAAGAAGGAGATTTGAGTATTTGACAACACAGATAAACACTGAAGACATTGAGCTAAGTGAAATAAGCCAGGCATAGAAAAAGATCTTGCACAATCTCTGTAGAATCTAAAAAAACTCAGACTCTTTGGAATAGAGACTGTAATCATGACTACAAGAGAATGGGGAGAGGAGAGTTGGTAGAGTGGGAAATTCGAACATGTTTGTCAAAGGACACAATGTTGTAGTTAGATAAAGGAACACATTTTTAATGTACCAATAACTATTGTAATCGAGTATTGTTGATAATAAATGTATATGTCTAAATATCTAAATGAGTAAAATTTAATTGTTATTATAAAAATATGGTTTTAAGAGGGTGCATATGTTAGTTAGATTGACTAAGTGTTTCTATAGTGCATATACATATTGAAATATTTTACTTTACCCCAAGTGTATATAAGTATCATTTAACAATGAAAAGTAAACATTTAAAAGATGGCATGAACTCTTGTGACTCTAGTATACTTCTTCTTAATCCCTATCTCCCAGTGAAGTCTGCAGCAATGAGGCAAGAAATATATATTATCCAACTTTATTTTTATTCCCGCACTGGTTGCTAATGTCCATAGAACTGACCCCCTTTGCCATAATGCACTTTTAGGTGCTGATGGAGATTAGAGCACTGTTGATGATCCTAAGTGCTCAATACTGATTCCATATAAGCAGGCACATTCCTTGGAATCAAAGACTTGATGTGAAACTTGAGAACAAGGAATTGATACAGTATCCAGACCAGATTTTTTTCTGGTCTGAATTTTCCTAATAGGACAAATCAAAGATACTCCCCTTAAATAATAATAAAAAAAATGAGAACTTTATTTCTGAAACATATTTGCACATGTTTTTTGTTGTTTTTTTAACACATTATTTCCCTTATTCTTTGAAAGTTAAATTCTAATGTGTTAATGTGTTTGCTCTTTCATATGCCTAAGTCTTATGTTCAAGCATTTGACTTGAGACCTTAAATTTCACAAGAATCAGTGTTCACCTTCATGGGTATTTTCTAGCCAGCATCCCATAGCTAGTTCATTGCTGCTTGCCTCATTCATCTATAGCAATCACTTTCATATATTGCACCCAGGAATAGAACATCACTCAGATATATCCTCAGAAAGGAAGAGCCTCCTCTCAGCACTGACAAGTACAATTGAAAGCCCAGAGGTTTGTGTGCTTTGGATATAAAGATTATTTTTTTCCTTGTTCTCTTCTGAGCACAATGCTTTCCTTTATCTAGTACACTGCAGAGGAAAGGGTAAAGAGGGGTTTTAATATTTTCAAATAACTAATTTAAGTTAGTCTTGGAAGGAAAGCAGGAAGGAAGGAAAGAAGGAAGGAAAAATAGAAAAAGCTAGAGGGGGACTTGTAGATTATGTCTGTACTCCAGGGTGAACAAGGTACATGTTGTGAATGTTAATATCCCACAGAAAAGATCAGCCGTTCTTTTCACTAACCCTACGGCTTTCTTTACTAGCGGCTGTGGTCTGTGTGACACTTCTTGACAGACTTGAGAGTGACCAAATCAATTTGTCCCATGATGTCCTGGTGGAGTACCAGCAACGGCCACAGCTCCTAATCTCGAATTTCATCAAAAAACAGCTTGGACTTTGTGACCAGATGTCGGTGACTCAGAATCGGGGCCCTCCTCCTGAGAGCTGATACATAGAGTTGCAACAATGAAGCCATGTGTTGTTCCTAACATTTTTATGTACTTTTCCTCCTTGGGCTAAAAACCATAAAAGATTTTATGAAATCTTTTATCCTAAAGTTGGATTTATTGTAAGAGAATTTAATACCCATGTGAAATTAAGTTCAAATTTCATTTTAGAACCAGTTAACTAAGGCAGTGTAATAATTAATATTTTAAACTCACGAATTGTGACATTTGGAGTTTCATATGTAGCATTAATTAAGCGTACATCAAAATAGATCAGCCATTTGTAGATGGTTACCAGTCACTTGCTGAAGCAGATCCAGAAGTGTATGTCAGGGTGCTGTCAGCACTTCTAGGTGTTGGACAAGTGACAAAAATTGATTATGCACATTCAAAATATTTACAGAAATGTGTCAGTGTGATATAGGCCTGCATGAAAGAATTATCCTTGGGGAAATATGCCCATACTCTTCTTCTATCCCTGCACAATTTCAGTGCACACAGAATGGAATTAGAGGTTTATGAATGTCTACATTTGTGATTCTCACAGAACATAACAGCTTGGGATCACACATCTTTTTTTCAAATGAAAACCCTTGGTAATGCAAAGACCCTTTTTTTTTTTCTTCCAAAATCAGAAGTGACTAAATGCCTTCTAGCAATCTTTTTTTTTTTTTTTCTATAAGGAAGTATGTCTTGAGAAAGCTGTATTTGTTGTTGTTTCTATAAGAACTGGATAAGCTGAAGAATTAGTTAACAATCAAATTTAACAGGAAATCGAGAGAGTGACGGAATCCATGTGTTTAGTTTTGAGGCAGGCTTCCTTCAGAGCCTGCACGTATGCCTCCCCTGTTTGGCAGCAAGAGGCAGCACACAGCAGAGGCTCCATGAATTGATCCCACCTTGAAGGTTCTCTTGAACGCTTAGAAATTGGAGAGACTAGATAAGACGAGTGCAGGGAGCCTTGCAAATGTGTGCGTACGTAATGTTATGTATATATATTTATATGGTTGCGGAACAAATAAAATGTGACTCCCACCATGCTGAAGAGTATTTGGATGCTGGACCATTTGCTCATTGGATGTGGCTGAACAGGCACTCAGGGCAGGATTCCCTGATGGAGACAGCAGGCTCCAGGCTGAGTCTCAACTGGCCGAAGCCTGAGACAAGAATGGATTTCTTCTTCAAGCAGCAGCAATAAAGAACCCCGTAGAAGATGCTTTGGGTGTGAACTTCTTTTGGCAGCGGCAGTGCTTGGAGGGCAGCTTCCCAGGCCTCTCAACAATCGACCAACAAACACAAACACCTGAGCTACAAACGAAAAGGGCGAGGCAGGGAGCATCTATGTGCTAGCCAAGTCTTTACTTCACTTCCTATTTCGTGAAGTGGAATCTACTTCAAAGTGGTTCAATAAGCTTTTGGTTTGAACTTTTATCTGGCTGCCTTTGAAAATCTTGTTTGCTTTTTACCTTGAGGTGAGAAAGAGAGACTCTGAGAAAGATGAATGAAATAGTTACCACTTAATCTTCCTGTCACTTCCTGACCAAGAGTGCTAATGTTCTCCTTGCCAGTAGCTCCTATTTGAGCAAACAGTGTCCAGCTAGATACCTCAAAACTAGTTTGAGGAAGCCTGTCTTCCTATTCCATCCTTCAAACAGTCAAGGAGTCAGATGAATGGACTCTTTTGTGCTTTTCCTCAATCTGTTCCTCTTTCTGGCTTCCCAAGTCCAGACAGGACTTTCTGCCGTGTAGAATCTCGATAGCCACACCTCCATGCTGGACGTTCAGTTGAGTGCTCTGGGCCCTGCTTCAGCTCCTGCTCCTGGTTTACCTCTGAACTCGGTGTCCGTTCCCTTCCGCCCCCCCCCCCAGCCTTCAGTCAAATCCCTGCAGCCTTGCTTCCCACGGCGCCATCTACTACTTCTTCAAAGTATTCATTGCAGCTTGAGATTTTGTTGTGATTTGGGTCCCTGTTTAGTGAATACTTAATGTCTAGACACTAAGATTCTTGGGGGTAAAGACTACGTCTGCTTCATTTCTGCTATCTGTCTCCAAGCACCTAAAACAGTACCTGTCAATGCTAGTTGTTCAGATGAAAGTCAGATGAGGAGTGTATTTCTGCCAGATCAATTCCCTTACAAACTCTTGCTGTGACAGGCAGGTATGGGTGTCAACTGATCTGCTCTGGGGCACCCTTGTGGTTCTCAACACTGGGGCATACGAAAGTTGCCAGGAAAACCCTTCAAAAACACTGACTGAGCCTCACTCAAACCAGCCCAGTACGACTCATTGAGTATAGCCTGGGAAAACAGCCACTGATACAGAAGAATGTGTCCTGTAGGTACCCCTCCCAGCTGAACTTTTAAATGCCTTTCAACCATTCTCACTGGAGTAGTTGCCAGAAGAACAACCTCTTGATGCCAGAAATAGCATCTTAATAATTTTATTTTCCAGCTGCTGACTGGTGCATGGTAAGGCTGGATGGTTTAAGCATGTATGTGTGCATTATTGTGCATATATATTAATAATATAAGAAGTCAGTGGTTTTAAATAACCAGGACACCTTGAGATATAACCCTTTCTATAAGAATATATGCCAGCATTTCATCTTTCTCATGATCTCTGCAAGAACACAGCTTTAGAAACATGCCATTCAACATTTTACTAACAGGTATCATGTGTGGGGTAGAAATGAAAACCCGAGCAAAAAAACAAATGGACTCATTGCTTGCCTCCAAGCCATAGTTTCCTGTCTTTTATCATAGAAGGAAATTAAAATTGTCTAACACATACTGACTTTTGTAAAGCATACACTTCTCTGCAGGATCCAGCATGTAGAAATACCAATAGTAGATATATTGAAGATCTGCTTTACAGTCTTTATACCAGATTTAGAGCTAAACAAACTCATCTTGCTGGTAAGTTTTCCTTTGGTTCCCTTTAAAAATTATATATGTATAATATATATACGTATATGTATATATGTACACAGACATATGTACATATATACATATCTAAACAGACATATGTATACATATATGTACATGTTAGGCCTAGCAGGAGCCTGATTTCCAGGGACACAGATGAAGGGAACTCAGGAGACCAGATAGATGCAACTGCAAGAGGTTTATTCAAGCCATGGCACTATGTGGCTGCCCCTGAAAACCAGTGAGGAACAGCCCCGAGAGAGACAGACCTGGGGTTTTTAAAGGAAAAAGCACGGGAAACGCGGGGGTTGCAAGCTTGGCAATACTAGATTGGATAGGGTAGTTGACTTTTAAACTGATTGGTCTATTTTAAACACCCAAGTCCAGTCAGTCCTCCCCGGTTGCTAAGCAACTCTATCTCATTCCTCAGCTTTGGGGTGGAGACCTTTGGCATTCCTTTGCAACAGGGTGGGGTCTTGTTTCAATTCCCCTGCTCCTCCTTTCTTCCTGCTTTCTGGAAAAGTGCTGGGAGAACTTAGTTTAACACGGGGTATAGAATTTATAAAGAAACCTGTACAGCTAGGCTGTTCCTTTCAGTACACACACATTCTTTATTCCTTTAGGCTTTCTCCATCTTTTAGGAATCCTAAATAATAACAGGGTTGCTATCACAAAGTCTCCTAAAATAAATATCTAGAAAAATGTATAATTTGCAATCTGCTTTATTATTCACTTCCCAGTAACTTTCCCATTTCTTATGCACTCCACCCGATAGGTGTCATTCAGTATAGAATCAACTTAACATTTATGTTTCTAAAAACTGAGCATGGTATGTTGTCCTTGAGAACAAACCACACCATTTAACTGCTTTTCCTTTTGAAACATTAAATGTAATATTAATAATATGAGTATGAAGTAATTTTTAAATTCATTAGGTGAACAACCTTGAAAGCAGGATCATACATTTTGTGGAGAATTGGTCTAGAATTACCTTGCCAAATGGCAATTTAGGATTATGCCTGCTTTGTTTTTTGTTTCTTGTTCTTTGTTTTTTTCAGAATTTAAAATTTCTAGGAAAAAGTATTGTCTTCTGTAGAAGTCTAATTTGTTAACACTTTGAAGCACTGTGGCTATTCTAGAGCAATAAAAATTATCTAAGCCCTCTAACTTTGTCCCACCTCCCATTAGACCATAAAGAACAGATCTTTAAAAATATAGGTTATGCCTGCTTTTTGATCACTTCCCCCTCATGGGACTGCCCTACAAGGCCACAGGGGAGAAAGACGAACTCAGTTCTCATGTGAATAGATGAGCGGGGGGTGTCTGATTGGGGGCCTCCCCTATTCAGAGGAATAGAAGAGGGGGGATGCAGGAGGGAGGATGGGACTGGGAGGAGAGGAGGGAGGGGCCTATGGGTGAGATGTAAATTGAGTGAAGTAATTAAAAAATGAAAAAAATAGATAACACTTTTAATTTTTATTTTAACTTTATTTTCTATCTGAGAGAAAAGCCCCTTTGGAGTTACATCCCACACACACCCCGCTCTGCACCACCAATGTTATAAAACAACGATAAAACAAAGCAGCAAGACTCTTGGACAGGGCCTCACTTTGGGTTAAAGGTCAGCGTGGGCACCAAGTGCACCACGCACCTACTCAGTGTTGCCCCTCTCCGTCTGCTTGTTGGCGCTAGCGGCCTTCTTTCTTAACCTCTGAGCCATCTCTCCAGCCCAAGCTGCCTTCTTTCCATTGAGATCCCAGAAGGCTTGAGCCAAATAGAACTATTTCTATGATTGCTCTAACGTTTCAATGGTGTGAGCTTCAAGCAAGGAAGCAAAGGGCAGAATGAACAAACACATTTAAAGAGAGCCAGCTCCTCGTAAGTCACAAGGTTAGATACCATGAGACAGCAAGGGGATTGCTTCCTTTAAGCAATTACAGCCTTGTATACTTGGAACACCAACAGTGTGACTCACTGTAATTCAAAGGAAAATACCTAGACTCCAAAGGAGACGCAGAAACAAGAATGTTTGGGGAAGTAAAAAAAAAAAGAGGAGTGTTCATGTAGAGCAGGAAGATTTGAGGGGGTTTCTTGGACAAAGGTGGACATTCGGAGTGAACTTTACTTAAGGCCTAATTTTGGTGAGAACTCCGTGCAAGGTGCTGACAACAGATGGAGAGCATGAGACAGGAAAGAGACTATGACTAGACTCCTCCCTGGCTGCGTCTGGACAGGTAATTTGGGTTATAAGGAAAGTGGACCTACTATGCAGGCAAACGGGATGGGGGGGTGTTCACTGACAGTTGTGTAGTAAGAACAATCAAAAGTCTGTCAAGGGAAGGTAGGGGGAGGGAGAATGGGAGGGAGACAGGGGCCTGCAGCATGAAAATATGCTCAGGGGTCTAAGGCTGAGCCACCTCCATCCCATAATGCCCAAAGGGAGAAAAGATTAGATGACACCTCCAAATTCATTATTGTTATTACGTTAGACACACAGAGAAACACACCCGACAGAGCAAATGGCTTCATATTTTCACTTTACAAGTCGGTTTCTGTGTTTCGGAATAAAAACATCTTTTTCATAAGAGATGATGCATTTCCCACGTCTCCTCTTGATAAGAGGCTAAAGAGTTCAAATGTGACAGAGCTAGGCTGGCAGTTGTGGAAGAGAGTGGCATTTAAAAGGCTGATGAGTGACAGATGTCAGTAATGATGTCAGCATCTATGTGATGGATATGTCTGACAGCAATTTAGCTAATACAAAATTAGCTTTCCAAAAGATATACATATAGTATAAAGTGCAGCTCATTAAAACGTGAGATCTCAATGACATTCTGATGCATGCCACAGCATGGCTGGACCTCTAAGTCCAGTGAAATAATGAAATAATGAAGTGAAATAATGAAATCTTATGACTCCATTGAGACATGAAATTTCTAAAGTAATCAAATTCAGAGAGAAAGGAGGTAGAGTAGGGATGCCTGAGGGAAAGAGGAAGGGGAATTCTTGTTGAACAGATACAGATTTTTTTTTTTATTTTGAAAGAATGAAAGGGTTCTAGAGAGAGTGATGATGTTTGTAAGTCAGTGTGCATGGCCATGCAGAAAAGGTTGAACAGCAAACGCTTTGTATACATATATGTGTGTATACACATAATGGAAAAACATACTGCTGTGAGTAAAGGGCTCAATCTATTTGATCTTTTAAAAATAATAACCATTAGCTTTACCAGTTTTTAGGGAGAAAGTTCCAGTCTGGTTTTCATACCTGGCAATTGGCATTTCTACATGGCT